TTCCTTCAAAAAGCTCTTCGTCCTCTTGAAGATGTGTTTATGTTTCCTCTATGTTTATGCTACCAAGTGCAGAATAAGTGAAGAATAAATAAATGAATAAATGCCGAGTAAGTGCAAAATGCAAAAAGCAAAAGTAAATACAAATGCGAAGGAAAAATGCAAAACAAGCGATAACTGTGTCGTTCCAATCACATCAAAAACGCATTTTGTATTTCGTGCATGACAACGTATGCATGGAAATTTATATGAAATGGAAATTTTACAAAAAAAGCAAATTTCGATTCTCATTTCACATGGGGGACATGAGCAATGCTTGTGGCGCATATTCATGGGCAATAAGTGATCAGATGAAAATCAACATGCTGATATCGGAGAAAGGTGATTCCAGTAATAAGCGAATTGATGATCAATGGGCAATGAGCCAAAATTACTGAATAAACCACTGAATACTGAATAGTTCCTACATGATTTTTTTTTTTTGGTTTTTTTGGTTTTTTTGATTTTTTTATTTAAATATAGACATTTGATTTATGTTTTATTAGGTATTGAATTATTTTGAAATAAACCGTTGATCACACAATATAGGCAAATCATGGGAAAAAAGAAACATAAATCAAGAGGAAATTTTAAAAAAAAAAAACGTCAACATCAAAGTCATTTTCCAACGCCAAAACTACTTGTTGTTTTTCATAGTGATTGCGCGGTGCACGCGTTTACTCTCCACGCGTACACGGATGTTTTTTTGACGATGAATGCACTGTTGCGCAGTTTTCAGCACCTCGTTAATGCTGCATATCTCGCGTACAATCTGAGATCGTCCGACAGGTACTAACAAAATTTTTTAGTACAATTTGTACCAAAATTTGTTTGGCTGCCCGTTTTGTGCAGGACAAAAAGTAATTCTCAAAATTCATTTCACATATTTCAAAAATTTCAAATTTCTATTTCAAAATTTAATTTCAAGTAAATTCCGGATTTTTTCAATTTCAAAATTCCAAAAATTTTAAAGTTTCAAGTTAAAATTTCAAAAATTCTGAAAATTTTGAAATTCATTCCTCGGTCAAGACGTGAGCTGTGGATTCCCGACAAAATTGGTCAAATCGGGAGTATTTAGGCCTTAAATTCTTAGAAACAATGAAATTTATAGCAGTCAACGGCAGATTTCTCAATTTTGTTCACAAAACTGCCTCATCACGTTATTTATGACGCACTCGGTTATCTGTTCTCCTTATGCTT